TCCCTGGCCCGTGAGCAGACCTGGAGGCAGAGCCGGCTACACACCTAGACCAGCGACACAAGCATGGCCACGGGCCAGCCACTGCTCCCTGGCCCATGATCAACAAAACAACCTGAGATCGGACCCAATCAAAAGATGCCATAAGCACAGGCCACTACCAGCGCAAATGACAGATTCCTTTACAATTCCTTTACAACCAACTGTTTTAAATAAGTAGAAAAGCACTCTACAGTGGCAAGTCCAGGTACATACATAAACCAGTAGCCACGTGTGTGTCATCATTATCAGATATGACACACGTTCATAATCAGACAGGCCATCCTAGTACGCACCTGGCAATGGGGTGGACACAGCATCTCACCCCATTCAGAACGATTACCTTCAAAGGAGGGAAAATAACAAGTGCTGAGGAGGATGCAGAGAAAAGCAACTTCCACGCACTCTTCATGGAAAACCTAGTGCAACCATCATGGAGACCAGGATGGCAGTTCCTCAAAAACTAAACATTGAGTTAGCACATTATCCAGCTGAGCCCTTTCTGGGTATATGTGCAAAGAGAATAACACCCATGTGCTTATGCACTCTTCAAGTTGTTAAACGAATTAGCATACACACCCACCAACAAAAGAACAAAGAAAGTAAGATACGCAGCACAGCAGCGTACTTGCCATCTAGAGTGAAGAATCAGCAAAGTGAACGGAACTGCAAGATGCTGTGTCAAAGTTAAATATGTCGGACACGGAAGTCCAGTACTTCTTGTTCTCTCACTTGGGGAGGTTTACAAGAGAAATCTGACATAGAAGAGTGATTACTAGAGATGGGCAGCAGAGTGAGGAGAATAGATGAAGAGAGGATAGACTGGACCGGTGGAAACTGTGTGGACATCTCGAAGTAGCACACGAAACCTCTGTAGTACATAAAATTAATACATATTAACTAAAAAATCAATGTTCCATCAGCATCTCTGTTAATATATGGATTATCCATATGTAGATACGATGCTCATAAAAATGAACATTGAAGTCAGTACCTCAAAGCTTTCTCCATGACATAATTAAACTCCTGCACTAGACATAGCCCAAGATGTCCCCCGAACTCTTTCTCCCCCTACCAGCCCCCGAACTCTTTCTTGTATAGACACTTGGGCCAGCAGCTGACGCAGCATCTAGTCAGAGTCAGGGCCAGTCCCTGCTGGTCACAAGGAAGACCTTTAAAATTCCTTCAAACCCATATACTAGATCACATACCATTTATAATTCTTCTCGCATTTCAAAGATCTTTTAGCATCTGTCTTGATGTTAGTCTTTGGTGAAAACATAGTCATACTGTGGAAAGAAAACTTTTATGTCACTCTCAAAGGTTAAGATTCCAAATGTCCTGAGAGGCTTAGGCTAGGCCTGGTGGTGCATGCTTGTAATCCCAGCTACACAGGAGGCGGAGGCAGAAGAATCGTAAGTTCAAGGCCAATGTGAGACTCTGAATCAGAAGGGCCAGGATGTAACCTAGTGGTAAAGCGCTTGTCCAGTATTGATTGGGTTCAGCCCCATCTCCATCCTCCCGTCCATCCTCCTCTCCATGTCCCTGTCCATTTATCCGTATTTCCGTCCATCCCTGCATCACTCCTTATCTCCACCCATCCATCCCTTCCTCTGTCCACCCATCATCCATTTCCCCCTTCATGCACTTATACATTTCTCCACCCATCCATAAGTGTCTTGTAAGAGGGTGAAAGGTGTACACAATGAAAATAAGAAAGCATGGCACAGCGAAGGAGTGGGGGAGGACAAAGGCTGTGGTTACATGCAGGGCATCCTGGGAGCGATGCATGAGGAAGCCTGAGCAGGACCCTGGGACTGGCCAGAGCCCAACCAGACAGCCTGGAGAACCCACAGAAGGACCCTGTGTTGGGCAGCTAACACAGCAGCTTTGGCCACTATGTCAAGGCCACAGAAAGGTCTAGGGCTTGGGGTAGAATGACACGGTGTAGCTCCATTTTAGAAAGAAAACCCTGTTTATACCTCTGTCTCCCTTGTCTGCCATGTAACTCGAGGACGCACGTGTGTCCCCATTTATTCCTGCATCTGCACTGCCCTTGAAGCTCTGCACTGCTGTTTACATAAACACGAGGGCCCACACTCACTGCGGTGCCAGTGCATATCCAGATGACCTGACTTTGGTGTGGAAAACCACAGGCTTGTCCTCTACAGCTCTCCGCACAGCTGCTGAAACAGTTTCAAAACAGCAGAACATGATTAACATTACAATTTCAATACATGAACAAGAGGAAGATTGCTCTTCAAAGCAGAAAACTTCACACACAAATGAGTTTCTGGCCTATGCCATTAAGAGGTTCCATACCACAAAGTTAAACCAGTCCATGCCAGCCAAGGAAGATTACATAAAGGAAATAAAAAGTACAAAAGAGAAAATCACGTACAATTCTCTCTCACTCTTTAAATTTTCCTATGGGGCTGACGAGACAGCTCAGCAGACTAAAGCACCTGTTTAGTCAAGCTTAGGCAAACACAGGAACTGCAGCTTGATCCTGGCACCACAAGCCTCCCCAGCCCTGCCTCCAGGAGCACTGAGCTGGCCAGAGTCCGTGTGTAGTTGCACACCCCTGTAATCCCCGTGAGCTGCACTGTGAGACCCTGCAACAACCAAATACATAAAAAACTAAATTTTCCTGCACTCAAATGCTTACACATTTCCAGTGCCAAAGGATGGCACCATGCTGGCCACAGGGGAACTGCTAGGGAATAAGCCACAGCTCCCAGAACTCCCTCGAGAGGAGGGAGAAGAGTACTCTGCAGGCTGTGAGGGTCACAGCATCTCTGAGCAGAGACCCACCATGGCTACTGACAAGGAAAGCTCAGCAGATGCAAAAGAACCGCAAAGGCAAGCTGCCGACAGACCAGAAAGTTCTACTAGAAATGAAAGTCTCCTGGTCTTTAACATGAACACTGCGAACAGCATACCCAGTGAGCAAAAATCCTGGCATCAAATGAACTTAACACAGATAGTTAAAATCTCAAAAATCTTTGCAAAATTAGTTTTTCATAAACTTGACACTTGGTCTTTGGGATGAATATTCTGTAGATTAGAAAGTAACTTTAAAATGGGTGACTGCCTAACACTGAGTGATCCTAAAAATAGCACTTTGAGCAAAGGCACTCAGATTCAGTACTGTTTCTGACACTCTTTTAACCCTGATCCCCCTGACCATTCCCCCCCAAACCAAGGGACCCAACAGAACAGAGGGCAACGTGAAGTCACATGGGGCCAAGGTGCACTGAGCACCAGGGCGGGCGAGCTCCACGGGAGATCGACACACAGGGTGCGATGCCTTCCTGGTCCTCAGAACAGGGCCTTCAGGCGCCCGGGTGGAGGCCCAGAGATCCAAGGGAGGTGGGACACAATGCACCCTAGGCCTTCCACCTAGCCCAGCGCACAGTGCTCCCATACTCCCTATCTTTCTTGCAGTCACTGATCCCCAAACCATTCCCCTTGTCACAAATTAATAGAACCTGGTTGAGCCCTGGGTCAAGAACTCTGTTCCAGTTAGCCATTGTTCTGACTGGACTCAGACCCCTTGACTCCCCACAACTACAAATGAGCCTTATCTTTATTCTCACTGTGGGTTACCCTGGAAGTGGTTGACTGGAATTAACTTATTGGATTCCAGTAACTTTTTATAGGATTACATAGACTTCCAGACTGTGAGGAGGTCCAGGAAGGGCTCCTACAGGGACACAAGTGTGTATCTATAAGAGGAATGTGAATGGGCGGAAGGCCACGATCTTACTTAGGTCAAGTAAGAGACTTAACAAAGCTGATTCAGGGCTTATCGTGAGTACTGAAGGGGAAAACAATTATCAATGCTTCCTACTACTGCGAAGTGTTCCCCAAAAGTCTCGTGCTCTTAGATGCACCTTGGAGGGTGACTAGATCACTACACTGCTCAGTGGGTCAATCCACTGATGGGCTCAGGGTTCAGTGTGACGTCAGGAGGTGGGGCCAGGCTTGGAGGGTCACCACTGTCCTTGGCCCCTCCTTTTCCTTGCTGCCTCCTGGCCAAGAGCAGCTGTCCTCCACCACACCCACGTGCCTCTGCTGCCTGGGTGCCAACCAACCACGGGATGAATGCTCAGAAAACCATGAGCCAAAATAAATCTCTCCTCTAAATATGTGTGTCAGATATTTTGTCCCATCAACAGTAAAGTGAGTATTCCAAATGTTATAAAGTTAATTTTTCTTTCTTCTTTTTTTTTTTTTTTTTTTTGTATTTAGAGCAGAGTCTACAGGGTGTACAAGGTCTCACTATTAGATCAGACTCATAGGGATCCTCCTGTTTACAGCCTTGCAAGAGCTGGGATTACAGGCATGCACCACCATGCCCAGTCTAAACCACCATCTCAGTGCACCCCGCAGGTGGGGCTGGCACGGCAGGCCAGTGAAGTTAATTTTTCAATTTTTTTTTGAAAAACAACAACATATGGATGGTTTGGCTGTTGTTAGAACAAATCAATAAAAAGCTATCTGTGGGACAACCAATAGTAATTTATTATGGGCTGGCTAAAACAAGAAAGCAAGGAATTACTGTTAATCTTGATGTACTGTAAGATGTACTGTAAGGAGGACACTACTATTAGAGAAGAGGAAGGTCAGAGGAGGGAAAATAGGGGTTGCAAGGGTGGGTACAGGAGTGATGAAGCAAGGTGTATAGGCTGAAACCAAGAAAGTGGAACTGGGCATAGCGTGGGGCAAGGAGCTTCACAGGGCTGAGAAGGAGCAAAGGATATTCTGTGCATTCAGGAATCTTCCAAAATAAAGCCGACTGACCCACACAACCAGGACAGACGTGCAGTCTGCAGGGCGGGGAGTGTGACGTGCGTGACTGCAGGCTGCACCGCACTGCCCCCTAGAGAAACAGTCCCCCGCCCTGGAGCACAGTGCGCAGCTCTAAAAACTACACCAAGGGCAGGGAAGAAACACAAGCACAGCTCCCAGCAACAAACAGGATGCACAGGCAGGAAAGAGGCATTGATTTTTTTTTTTTTGACAGACATGAATCCACAGGCAGTATAACAATGCCAACTATAACAGGAATTAATTGCATACTTTTTATATTTCCGAGCATGCTATACTAACCAGGCTGCTTTTGTGTAGCAGGTTTATTACGTTTCTCCCCAGCAGTTCCAAAATACAGTGGAGAAGTTGGTAAGACACAGGAGCTAAAGCACAAATAAAACCATAATAAAAAATGGTTTTATTTTTAAACAAACAATAAGACACCATCATTTCAACAAAACATTCTGAAGACAGATATAATCGTGCAGATATGGTTATACAATATTTGGAAATAAAAACTATTAAGATTATTCTTATCCTTAAAGAAAAATACTGGGGCTGGTGAGATGGCTCAGTGGTCTAAAGCACCTACTTAGAACAAGAACAAGCTAAGCTAAGCAAAAGCGCAGGGACCGCAGTTCAATCCCCAGCACCACATGCCAGCCAGCCCCGCCCCCTGGTGGGCTGAGCTGGCCACACACACAAAATAAATAAATAAATAATTTTTTTAAAAAATAAAAGAGAAGAAAAGAAAGAAAAATACTACCATATTTAATAAAAGTGTCATTTTATAATTTATATTCTATTCTAAAATAAGGTAGTATTTTGGTTTTGGGGGGGGTTTTGTTTGTTTGTTTGTTTGTCTGTCTTTGGAACCGGGGATTGAACTCAGGCCCTTGCACTTGCAAGGGAAGTGCTTATTCCACTGAGCCATCCCCACAGCCCCAGTATTTTGTATTAAACTATGAACCATTTCTTCTTAAACAAGATAGAAGCAATGGTACGAACAATAATTTGCTTCACACAGGGTCAGTATGGTTGTGTTTACTACTTTCACCTCTATTTATTAACATGAGAGGAGTCTGGAATGCTATTAATAGATTGCCGCTCACATGGAAACCCTGAGCTTGACCCAACTGTACCTCGCTAGCACGGAGAGAGCCTTCCCAGGGCCCGGACGCTGCTGAGAGCTCACCAGCGCTGCCGGGTGGATTTCCAACACAGCGATTGTACTCTCAAACATGGATGTGAGTACACAGTATGCCTACAAGAGACAACGGTGACATGACTGGTAACATGACTGAATGGAAAGGAAATTGTGGGTTTGTACCCATATCTAATCACAAGCACAGCTTATTAACAAATCTGCTCCACTCGTACAAATAGTTACGCTATACGACAGGTAAGAAGATTTGCAGGGTATTACATAATTCATGCAAATGTTCACAAAGAAAGCCAGTTTTCATGACACTATGTTCCAGGAAGTAGAAATCAAAAATACAGAGCCAGCAAGATAGCTCAGCAGACAAAGTGCCTGCTTAGACAAGCACAGGGGCCAGTGCTCAGTCCCCAGAACCACATGCTCTGCTGGCCCTGCCCCTGGACGTGATGGGCCAGCCACTGAGACCGGGCGTGGTGGCACACGCCTACAACCGCAGCCCTGGGGAGGCTGAAAACAGGAGGATCACTACGAGTCCAAGCTGTGTAGTGAGACCCTGCAGACCCCGTGTTAAATACATATAATAAATAAATAAAAACTAAACAAGGGTGGGAATGTAGCTAAATGCCAAAGCACTTGTCTGGCACATGCCACACCTAGGTTCAAGATCTGACATGCTAAAGAAATATAAAGGTATCTGGCAGAATCTAAATGAAATGTTTTCTGACTGACCTTAAGGTTGACAGTTTCGCTTGTCACTGCGCATGATCCAGCAACTTGAACAGAGAGGCTCCTAAAATCTTAATTTGCAAACATGATAAACAATTTCTAAGAAGCAGAAGGAACTAGTACTTGCTAACTGCTTTCTTTCCCAGTAATGAATGCTCAGCAGCCCTCAGGCACAGAACCTGCAGCAAGAGTGAGGCAAGGCCGCAAGAAAGGCCCCCATGCAAACGCCAGGAACTGGTCCTGGGACCGTGAACATGGAATTAGGAGGAGGCTGTGAGGAAGCCAGGTGGACAGCAGGATGTGCACGGAGAACCACAGACAGGCCCAGGTGCGACTGCACACACTTCATGGAAGTCGGGAGAACTCAGAGGATGCAAAAAGGCCAATCCTCAGGGCCTGTGCCAAAGGCAGGGGGCTTTGGAGGATGCAAGGCATGGGCCCAGGCCATGCCTGGAATTTACTGCTGCATCCTGAGCACCACACGAACCTCATGTCTAAGGGGAAAGCGACAGGGGCCAAGATAGAATTAAAGACCACTATGTAGGCCCTGTGCGGAGGAGGCGAGGTGAGTGGGGAAGGGCCTGCAGGCACGGAGGAGCGCGCTGCTGTGGAGGCCATGCTACCCCTCTGGCAGGCGCACACCGGGAAAGGACACAGGACCAGAGATTGAGACAGACAGCCCTGGGCTGCTGGTCAAATTCTAACTCTGAGGCTTTCTCCTCCTAAGTCTACCATACTAAATTTCATTCCATAAAACAGGCAATTTATAGGGCTTTCATGTCAGAAATAATTAAACTTATGGTCTTACCCTTGAAACGTAAAACAGCTTCCATTTCCAAGTTTGCCAAGTTAAAGATGAACAACTCTGTTGAGCTTCCAATCCACAGGCACCTGGTGTTCTCAGAGGATAGGCTGTTTGGAAAGAAGAGGAACAGAGTGCGCCCTGACCTCCACCTAGCTCTGCAGACCGGGGCCCCCCTCCCCCACAGGGGGTACTGAGCCCCCAAGCGGGGACAACCTGCAAGCACTCCCTTCTGCACCGCAGCTGCAGGTTCTTGTCACTTAGGATGACTTGGTGAAGTCTGTATGTGGTTCTTAGGAACCCACTTAGTATCTGCTGGAGAAAAGTCCCACAACCTGACCAGAACTCAGCTCGGGCCTATGCGGCTTCATTTCTCTTCTGCTTACTGAGGACCTCAGAAGTGCACATTCAGGGGCCTGGCGGTCAGGCGTGGCACGTGACTGACGCCACTGCAGGCACTGCACCTAACGTGCTGACAACTGTGTTTGGAAAGCAGGCACCAGTCAGAGAGAAAGCTGATTGGCCCAAAGCAGTTAACTGCACTACAAATACCGGTCTGCTACTGTTAGTAAACAGTCACCGAGCCTACTACAGATGATGCCAGGCATACACTCCCAGCCAGCCTCCCCGCTGGCTCCTCCTCTCGGCCGTCCTGCCAGCCCGCCCCGAGGACAGTCCCTGGCTGCTGGCCTTATCCAGGAGCTACCCGCAGCCTGCTCACTCCTGAGTCCTGCCCAGCACACACAGCACCAACCCATGCTGCCTGTCAGGGGAGGCGCTGCAAACAGCAATCAGGTGCTAGGACTCGGTGTCTCCCTGGCCAGGCTCCGTGGCTCTGAGCCAGAACCAGAGGCGTCCTGCAGCTCAGCCCAGGGCCAGCCCCACCCATGGCCTATCCCCTGTCCCGAGTCATCCCTGATGTTTGGGCCAGCGGGGAGTGCTAGGCTTCCAGGGCCAGGGCCATTCTGAACAATCTGCCCCCAGATTCTTGGTTTTCTTTCTGCAAATCCATATGCATTATAGAAATGCCACATTGATGGGCATTAATTTGTACAATAATATACGTTAATGACAAAAGTATGATTAAAAAAAAAAAAACCTTCTCCACCATCTAGAGAAACAACCAGTTCTTCTCTGGCTGAATTCATAATCTCTAACGCTAAGCTTGCTCTGGAAAGAGAGGTGAGCACAGACACCAGGTGCTCTTTAGTCACAGATACATGGTGCTTTGTCATCATGTCACTCATTACAGTACTGCTATCCAGCACAGAAATAAAATTCATTTGAGGTTGATTTTAAAACTGTAATAAATGGCACAAAGGGTGTAGCCCCTCGGCTGAAGAGTGCTTAAACCACAGGGCAGAAGCAGGCAGGCTCTGAGGATCCCACAACACATCACTGTTGTGAATGGTTACACAACACCACTAAATCAGCAAGGCCTTTGTGTCTGGCCACTGTCCTTCCCTTTCCCCGCTGAGCTGCGAAGCCGTGAGGCAGTTGCCTGTCCAGACTGCTTTTCTTCTGTTCTTTCTCTTACACTGATGTTCTAAATAAAAGCCAGAGTCCTCAGCTTCGGAGCTGCTGCTGGGAGTCTCCCTAAGGCTGCTCAGCTGCGCACGCTCAGTGGAGACGGCCCAGGGGCCTCTCCGTGTTCCCATCAAGGTTCGCTGCCGAGTAACATTTCCCTCCCCAGTGGGAGGGCTGCACTCTGTGACACAGGGGAGAACTGGGAGGCTTAGAGTGCGGTGTGATTACCACGCCCCGTTCTAAGAAAAAGTCCTATTACAAAGGAAAGAATCTGCCTACATTTGGAAATCAAACTTAAAATGATCTCATTCCTTTTGTTAAAGAGGCTTCGGCAAAACTGACCAAGTCACCCCCTCCAAATCTTAAAATACACAATTCTAAGAACACATAGTTGAAGACAAAAGTAACTGCATTTTATTTTAATAATTCCTACAACCAGAAACTGATGCTCCCTCAGGGAGGGTAAAGGGTTTTCTCGCCTGGTTTTTCCAGCATCTACGTACCCTGTGCTCCCAGAACTCAGCCTGTGGGGGAGAGGGCAGGGAGAGAGGCTCAGCACAGGTCGGGCTGCTTCTGGCTGCGTCCCCATGTCCACATGACTTGCTCCTGCTGGGCAGGGTTACTCATCAGCTGAGAGGCAAATTTAGAGCAGGGATCAAGCTTAAAGAACAACAGTGGGCTCAGGATGCTGCAACGGTTTACGTTGCTAGAATAATAGAACCATGAGCCAGAAAAACACCTAGGATTAAATACAGAAAAATAAGTTTAAAAATAAAAATTATTCTCCAGGTCCAGAGATATGCAATGGATGCAATTTCAGAAAACAATGAGTAGGGAAGAGGACATGGTCAATCTGGAGGCTAAATCCACATTTGCTGAATAGGTTTAGGGTTTATCCAAAAATAATGATTTATAAATAGTCATTTATAAGACAAATAATGAATACATATAGTGCCTTAAAGTAATGTCTGCTCAATACACAAAGACATAGTTTAAAGTCATCTACAGTAAACACAAACTGAAGAACAGTGTTGATGGAGGAGGTCACACCTGTGGTATGTGGGTGAGAAGGGGGATATGGAGGTAGTGGCTAGGCAAATGGAGGTGGTGGCATCTGTGGCATGCAGTGGGCAGGTGAGTACCCGGAGATGATGCCAGGGTGGCTGCTGAAGGTACAACCTGTAATGTGCAGGACAGAGGTGGGGACCTGCAGGTGGCAGCAGAGTGGGTAGCAGAGGTGGCATCTGCGATGTGCAAGAAAGTGGCAATGACCTGGAGGTGGCAACAGGGTGCACCTGGCCCCACTGTGCAGCGCCCCAGTCTGCTCATAGCCCAGTCCCTGGGGCCTGCAGGCCTGTCCTGACTGGACCTCCACTGCCACTTCAACAATCCAGGGCCTTGTGCCCCATGCAGAATGACACCTCATCTGCACTGGCCCAGCCTCCACCCCCAGTGCACAGCCTGCTAGGGCCTAGGTGGTTGTCTGAGGTAAGGACACTAGGCTTCCCCTAAACAAGAAATTCTTACTCCTCGCCCCGCTCACTCTATCTCACAGGGGCCTCACAAAGTGCCACAAGGGCCACGTCCACTCAGAAGGCCCCACATGGGCCCGAGCAACATGCCTGGCAGGCTGTGCGCTCCAGACTTCACCCTCCTGGCGGCAAAGGTCTCACTTTTCTTCCTCAGATCCACTCGGGCTACGCAACGGTAGTGATGTCCTTCTGTCAAACTGAAAACCCAAAGCTGTGAAAGCAAACACATACTGAAAAGCGACTCCTTTAATGGTGGTATAAAGAGGAAAAAAGAATAAAGAGTGAAATGCTGAAGAAAATGTGGTTCAGGTGGACAAGTCACAAGAAACATGTCCCATTTCCTTCAGAGATAGGCATGGCTATTCTCCTACCCACTGGCTGCCCTTTCTCAGGTGACGCCAAGACCCTGGAGAACCTGTCAGGAAGGACAGGCACCCCAGAGCCCAGATGGAGTAACCCTGGTTACAAGGTCTCCTCGAGATGCCCACGTCTAGGTCCCCTTGGCTCATACCCAGATCCCTCTACACCACAGGCTCTGCCTCCAGCAAGGAGTACTTCTGACCAGGCCACTGGCTGTGAAGGGCACAGAGTAACAGCAGTTGCCTTCATAAAATAAATAAATAAGCTTCCCACGTATATCCATGCTTTCTGAAATAAACCTAAACTGCTTAGATAAACAACTTTTTTTAAACAGGTTAAACATCTTCAGTTTTCAAAAATATCTAAAGCTGAGGCTGTGCACCAGCGAGTGCTTCTCAGCCCTCGCTGCACTGCAGGCATCCAGGAGCTTCTAGAACAGCCAGATTCCCAGGACAGGGCCCAAGTGCTGGGTCACGCACCGCTGGCCCTCACCGTGACTCAGTGACACAGAGCCCTCCAGCACAGCACACGGAGGTGACTCCTTTCTTTCAATCACAAAAACATTCAAAGTGACACCGATAGCAGGACCTGGCGCACTGCTCCCCCGCGTGGCAGTCCTGCGGCTCACCTGCCCACCGGCACACCCAGCCACGAGCTGCTTGCTCTCCTCGTCGATGAGCAAACTCAGGAGGGGACACGCTGTGAAGGACAGACGCACGGTCAGGGACTCGCTGGACAGTGGCCCACCACTCCATGACTGTCCCTTGGCCAAGTGATTCTGAAACCATAGCCTCTTAACTAGCGACAAGAGGAGTATGAAAAGGGTTCAGCTGGGGAGATAGCTCCACGGCATAAGCACCTGCCTGGCAAGCACAAGATCCTGGGTCCCATCCTGGTATCAAAAAAATAGAGTTCACCATCTCTACCCAACAGATAAATGCAAATTAAAATGATATTGAGAGTCCATCTCACCCCACACAGAATGACATCAAGGATATAAAAAAATTGTTTTAGCAAAGACATTGGGGAAAGGGAGCCTTCCTGTACTGTTGGCAGAGATGTGAACTACCATGACCCCCATGGAAAGCAGCGTGGAGATTCCTCGAGAGACTAAATATAGAAGTCCTACTTGACCCAGACGCACCACTCCTAGACATAGTCCCCAAAGAACTAAGGCCAGCACACCACGATGACATGCGTAACTGCATTTGTAGCAGCACAAGCCATGACCCCAAGCCATGGAAACAACCCAGGGGCCCATCAACAGATGGGGCGAATAAAAAGGTGGCGTGAGTACACGTCCATACTTGTGTGTGTCAATACTAGCCACAAAAAAGAATGAAATCATGTCATTTGCAGGAAAACAGATGGGACTAGAAATCATCAGGCTCAGTGAAATGAGCCAGACCCAGAGAATGAAATTTCACGTGACTACACCTGTATGAGAAACTTTAAAAGTGCAGGCATGCATACGTACACATATACACACATATACATGCATACACATACATACATACAGGACAGAGGACAGGAAAGCAGAAGACGTCTGGAGACAGAAGGAGATAAGCAGCAGAGGGGACGAAACAAAAGAAGCAGGAGGACTGAAGCTGATTAAGATAAGTCAATTTCAATTTTCCAAAATAAATCTCATCATCATGTAATATCAGCACGCTGTAATAAAACTGTTGCCTAGAATGTCAAATGTCTATGTGTTAAACTTACACTAACTTGTCAAGGATTAGAAGAACTGGATAAATGCACATTCAAAAATATTGTATGTCCAGAAAAAGAAATGAGCTGTGGTATGCACAAGTAACTGTTCCCCAAGATGACTGTAAACCTCACGAATGACCAACATGTACTAATAAGACATTTTTAAACATTATACTATTTTTAGAAAAATTTAAAACATATGTCCAAATAAGCTATAAATGACAACAAAGATCAAGTTTATAACTATGTTCTTAAGAATCCAATAACTCCATATGAAAAGTAGTAGGACAATAATTCCAACATATCTCCAAGAACAGTGAGTGCCTTGTCACAGAATCAAGTTATCAGAACACCACAATCCATACGTGAATAAGCTGACCTCAGGCAGAACGCAGAACATTAGGAAAATGCAGCAGGAAGTGCAGCGGCTTACCAAGCCACCTACATATCCGCTAAATCACACTTCCAAGTCTCCGGCCTGCGAGAGCCCCCTCGAGCTGCCCTCTGCTCCCTTCCACAGGAGCACACTGGGAGGACCAGGGAGCCACGCCCCTGGGCAGCGGGCAGAAGGTGCTGCAGGAGTGCTCCAGACTGCCACTTGGGCTGTGCTCCAAGAAGCGGCCAGGCCCCGCCTGTGGGAAAAGACCTGTGCCGCAGGAGCCGCTCACACGCATCTCTGCTCATGTGTGGGAGTCATGTGCCTCCAAAAAGGTAGTCTGATATAGTCCAGCAGCCCATAATAGCAGTGGGTTGTCCACAGGACAGGCAATGTCAGAAGTTGCTGACTTGAGCCTTTTACAGCTCCGCATATTAATATGGCTGTACTATTTATACTTCATTTTTATACTTTTCTGCTGGATGGTTAAGACCAAGATAAAGCAAGACCTATATAACAAAAAAATGTAACTTTTGTATCTGATAAGGTCAGTCAAGTCCCCTCAGGATTTACCCTGAAACCCTGTATAGCAGTTTGTACATCTTTTGTCAGTGTTGGCCATGTGGATGAGTCACAGCCTTTGCTTGACTGATTTGCTCTCTGTGAAAGCCTGAGAGAATGTTTTCTCTCCATGTGACTCTCCTTGGGCACAGTCTATATCATCAATCATTTTCCTCTGTGGCCTCATATTCTCCTTGATCAGAAAATTTGGGACACGCCTGAGTTACAGCATGTCACAGTACAGGTTCTCTTAATTCCTGAGCATAGACATACAGCTACTTTCTCTTAATTCATTAAGAAAGTTTTGAGCTAAGAGTGTTTAGACAAGATATCATGTCTGCATCCTGTACTATGAATAACTGCTACAAAGACAACAATATGCAATGTATTAATTATTGTAATTATCCTATTAACTTGTTTTGAAACTGTCTCACTGATATTTCTTTCTCAATAAAATTAATATTAAAAAATACACTCAGTGGGAAAAGTGTTTTAAAAAAAAGGTAATGTGAGGAAACAGGCAAGTGCCATGGAATTCAGGAGCTGTGCCCCAGCCTAGCCACTGGGGCAAGCGTGCTGGCCTCTCCACACTGCACTCCAGTCCTCAGGTTTCAACAGCTGGAACCCAGAGCTAGGGTATTCAGAAGGTGCATCTGGTCTGTTCAGGACAGCAGAGGGCTCTCTGTGGCCAGGCTCCCTGGGCCTGGCTATCTGTGGCCAAGCACTTCAACTCAGAGCCAATATACTATGTTCAAATCTATGAGACAGAGACGCTCAGACTTCAAACATATGTTTAAGCTAAAAACTTCTCGAATGCTGTTCTCCTTTTCCTTTCAGTGGCTGATAATATACTCCACTGGGACGTCACGGCAGGAAAATGGGCAGAAGTGGACATCATCATGGTGAGTATAATAAGCCATACACATGAGGGCAGATGTAGCTCTTTCCCATAGCTGGGATCTGAACACATGAAAACAAAAAGCAGAAGACAGTTTACAGAGTTAGCTTATGAGCGAGCCAGCTAGACAGGGAGGACGAAGAAAAAATTAGGCAGTCAGCCATAC